GGCCTAGAACTTTCTACAAACCATGAAACATTATGATGTAGCAATACTTAATGAATCAACAAGAAAAACGTAGGTTTTAGTAATATGATGAAACCATATAACAATCACCGACTAGTGAACTACACAATGTATGATTTGTACACAAACATGTGATATATTAGCACTTCAAGAATACTAAATTCAACACACGTGCTTTATAACTATTTAAATCATAACTTTCGTATTACATTTAAATGAAACAGTCGTGTATCTCTAATAACAAGCCCCTCTTCAAGAAAAATATTTATAATATCTTTTTACACTATACACAAAGTATCTTCATATAGTCTGCACCAAAATTTGTAGTTTCCTTGTTGGTCTGTTATAACATAGGGCATCTGGTAGAGCTTCAACTTCACTGGATCCCTGGTTGTGGTCTAGATCTTGTGTTGCAAAAATTGTCTTGTCTATCTGTGAAGACATCTGTGGCCTCATGACTTCATCTTCTATGAAAAAGTCACCATCTTTTGGTTCCGCATCTATGACAGCCACACCTGCAATAACCATCTGTGTCTCAATAGCTGCACCCATTATGTCTTTTTCCCTCTTTGACAGATTGGCGTGGTAGATCTTGGTCTTCCCGTCCACTTTCACCTTATTCTGTTGACCATTTCCTGCAATCCAAAACTTCCTTTACACTGCAGGGTGAGTTTGTTGTTGTATGTGGGTAGCAGAACCAAGACCAACTGTACGAAACTGAAACATCGATCTGTGGTCTTCTTGTCATAGAAGTGCTTCTGACTGCCTTGAGCTGCATACAAACCTCTTGAATGAGTCGACAGGTCTACTCCAGTCTTTTCTCAGGCCTAAATCGTACTAGTGTGTGTTCTTCACTCTGACTTTTCTTCTCCTGCCCACAGTTCCTTTAATATTTGCATTAAGCTCTGTACTGTTCTTCTGTACATTAACTAGAAGGGTGAAAACCCTGTACTTTGTGGTAAGCAAATATTGCCTGCAGGTAATTGTCCCAGTCACATGATCTCTCTTGGCACATCTCCTTCAGTATAATCTTTAAGACTCTACTGACTCTCTCACAAAGTCCATTACATCTGGGGTGTACAAGATGGTAAAGAGCTGCCTAGTGCTGATGGGTCTGCACACCTTTGCATCAGTTCTGAGGAAAATGATGTCTCTCTGTCACTCAAGACTTTTTTGGAAGCCCACTCTGCAGAACACTTCCAAGAGGGCTTCTGCTAGTCTCTCCATATCTATCTTTGACAATGCTATGGTTTCTGGGTAACGTGACACATAGCAGACAACTGTCAGCACACACTGGTTGCTCTTGTTGGATACAGGTGCTAGTGGTCTGATGAAGTCCTCAGCTATGCTGCTGAATGGTTCTTCTATGAGAAGCATCTCAACCAGTGGTACCTTGGCTACCTTCATTCTAGGTATTGTCCTTTGGCAGAATGTCACATGATCTGCAAGATCTGGTCCCATCTCCGATGACCCCTGGCCAATGGAAGTTGCTGGTGATTCTGTCTGCTGCCTTCTTCACTCCTAGGTGTCCTCCTACAATCGACTCATGAGCCAACTTCATCACTTGAGTACAGTATTCTGTTGGTGTTATGATCTGTTTAACTTCCCCAATAGAACTGCCTTGATAGATCCAGTACAGCACTTCCTTCTGGTCATCTGTTCTGCAAGTCTCTCTCTCTCTCTCAAGGTTTTTGCAGTGAATAGTCTTTCTTCTGTGCTTCCTTCAGTTCCTGTAGATCCACATTCTGGATGCCACTTTGAGACTTGAAGGTGTTTGATGTCTTGCTTACTTTTCTTTTCTTGAGCTTCAGTGGTGACTGCAGATGATTCATTTCTCTTCTTTGTGTCTGGTTCCTCCAAACTTCTATTGCTTGGTATATTGACAATCATCAAGCCATAGATGGGTGTCTTCATACACATGGCCTCAAGATCTCCCATGTATTAGGTCGTCAAGAAATTAACGTCACCATTTTTTTTAGATGAAAAATACCCAAACAACTTATATATCAAAACAAAACATTTATTAAATGAAATAGTCTCCATTCTTATCAACGA